CCTTCCCAGCAGCCGCAGCAGCCGTCGCAGACGCGACAGACGAGTGTCCTCCCGCCCGGGTGGCCCGGCGCTGGCGGTGGCCGGGCGCGTAGCGGTGTGCCGAGTGGTGGCTCTGGTGGCGGGCGTTGTCAGTACCAGATCCAGACCGGTCCTCGCCGCGGTTTCGTTTGCGGTAGGCTCGGTCACTCCACTCCCCGCTGTTTTCGTCGCCTGGACGACCTCTTTCGTCAGCGTTTCGGCCCGTCGCCAGACCTCCCGGACTGGCACAGTTTGCTTAGTCGTCAGATTCAGATTTTTGATATGGACATGGATGCCATTGTTGCTGCTCTGCATGTGATGTATGCTGATGACTCTAGTGTGCTTCCCGCTTATTACTCACTGTTGCCTAGTGTAGGTGTGCCTAGCCTAGCCTCCCCTGCTGCGTCAGGCGTAGGCTCCCCTGCTTTGTGTAGTCTTGGTGCTTCAGCCGTCGTTCCGTTGCCAGACGCCTCTACTTCGCTTTCCTTCACCTTGGACTCTGGCGCTTCTCGGTGTTTCTTCCGCGACTCTACCACCCTGACGCCGCTTCCTGTCCCAGCTGCCGTCTCTCTTGCTGACCCCTCCGGCAGTCCGGTCGTTGCCCGCAGTTCCACCACCCTTCCCTGTCTGGCGGTTCCCTCGGGCTCTCTCACAGGTCTGCATATCCCTTCGTTCTCCAGGAACTTAGTTGGTGTCGGCTGCCTCCAGGACCTTGGCGTCACCACTACGTTCCCTGGTCACGAGCGGTATGCTGTCTGTACCGAGGCCGCCACTGGTGCCCCCCTGTCTACGTTCCCCCGGGACCCGGTGTCCGGCCTGTTCACTCTGGACACCGTGACCCCCCCGGCTGGGGCGCCTCCTCAGGTGGCTGCGTCTACCCAGGTTGCTGCTGCCTGCTCCTGTCGGTCCCTCACTCACCCGACTCTCCTGTGGCACCACCGCCTTGGTCACCCTGCGCTCCAGCGTCTGCGTCACATGTCCCAGCATGGTCTTGTCCTTGGTCTCCCAGGTTCCCTCCCCGCGTTTCCCTCCTCCCCAGCCCCACCTTGCACGCCTTGTGTTGAGGGTCGGCTTCGCCGTGCCCCGCACTCCTCCTCGTTTCCCCCTACCGCCGCGCCACTGCAGACCCTGCACCTGGACGTCTGGGGCCCCGCCCCCGTCCCTGGGCCGCGTCGAGAGCGCTACTTCCTTGTGCTTGTCGACGACTTCACTCGTTACACCACAGTCTTTCCCCTGGAGCGCAAGGCCGACGTGCCTGGCGCTCTCATCCCCTGGCTTGTCTCTGCGCGTGTCCACCGCAGTCTCCCTGTCTTGCGTCTTCACTCCGACCGTGGTGGCGAGTTTGCCTCAGGTGTCCTTGGTCGCTTTTGTCGTGCGGAGGGCATCACCCAGACGTTCACCCTACCGGACTCCCCACAGCAGAATGGGGTCGCTGAGCGACGCATCGGTTTGGTCATGGAGGTGGCTCGCACCTCCATGATCCATGCCGGTGCACCCCATTTTCTGTGGCCGTTCGCTGTGCGCTACGCTTCTCACCAGCTTAACTTGTGGCCGCACCCTCAGCAGCCGCAGGTTTCGCCGACTCGTCTTTGGACTGGGTCTCCTGGTGACGCGTCTGCGTTCCACGTCTGGGGCTGCCTTGCTCACGTCCGTGCCTCTGGCACGGACAAGCTCACTGCCCGCACCCTTCCCTGCGTCTTCCTCGGTTTTCCCCTTGACGCGTCCGACTGGCACTTTTACCACCCGCCGTCTCACCGCTTCTTTCACACTTGTGACGTCACCTTTGACGAGTCCGTCTCCTACTACCGTCGCTTCCCCCACCATGGTCCCCCGGTTACCCCCCCCCTGTTCCTGGTCACTCCTTCCCCGGTAGTCCCTGCCCCTCCTCCTCCTCCTCCCCGTCCTGCCCCCTCTGGTGTGTCCCACGTCACCCCCTTTCCGTCGGTGGACCCAGTTGAGGAGTCTTCTGATTCTGGTGGCCCTCCTGTCCAGTCCTCGCCGGCCGCCCCTCCCATGGCGTCCCCTCCCCAGTCCCCCCCTCCACCGCCTCTGCCGCCGCTGCAGCCGTCGCTGTCGCTGCCGCCGCCGCCGCCGCCGTCGCAGCACCCGTTCGCTGCCTCTGGGGGTGCTCGTCCCGGTAGCCCTGGGGGTGGTCCCTCTGGGGGTGCTGGTGTGGAGAGTGTCGGTGGTAGCAGCAGCTTGCGGTCCCGGTGTTGCCGTTGTGCCGCCGCAGCAGCAGTCCCCGACGGTGTCAGCCCTTCGCCTGCTCGGTCTGCCGTCCCCCGACCCTGCGTCGGTTCCTCCCCGACCGTCTCCTCCTCTTCCTGTCTACGGCCCTGTTTTCCCTCCGCCGGACTCGTCCCCGGCTCGTCTCCCCCCTCGTTCCCCTCCTGTGTCCCCTCCTCTGTCTCCTGACCCGACTCCTCCGTCGCACGTCTGGTCTCACCGTCCCTCCCACGCTCGTCCTGCCTCGCCTGTCTTGCGCTCCCACCCTATGTTGCTTCGTTCCCACGCGTCTCGTCCTCCCCTTCTCCCGTCGCCTCCTCCATCCTCTCTCGTTGTTGCCCCCCCCCCGCTGTCTGACTACCTTCGTGCCGCTCGTCCCCTGGTCCCTCGGGTCCTTGCCTCTCTCGTTACCGAACCGTCTGTTCCGACCTCGTGCCTTGACGCTCTTGTCGCTGCTGTCGCTGACTTCGCCTCTACCCGCCGCCTTGACTACGCCTCCGCTCTGGTCTCTGACCCTGCCTGTCCTCCGTCCGTCGGGGGTGCTCCTGCCCTTGGCAGTGACGTCCTGGAGGACCGCCAGTTCGAGCTTGCCTTCCTCTCCGAGGCTGCTCCCCATCTCTGTTCCATGCTGCTAGTCCCTGAGGGTGACCCAGACGCTTTCGACATCCCGACCCCTCGCACTTACGCTGAGGCGACTTCGGGACCCTGGGCCTCGCAGTGGATAGCTGCCATGGAGCAGGAGATGGCATCTTGGAGATCCACCGGCACCTTCGTCGACGCAGTTCCCCCACCTGGGGTGAACGTAGTCGATGGCCGCTGGCTCTTCAAGGTGAAGCGCCCTCCTGGAGAGCCGCCTGTCTTCAAGGCGCGCTATGTGGCTAGAGGCTTCAGTCAGCGCGAGGGGGTGGACTTCTTCCAGACCTTCACTCCGACCCCGAAGATGACTACTCTTCGGGTTCTGTTACACCTAGCTGCTCAGCGTGACTACGAGCTTCACTCCCTCGACTTCTCCACTGCCTTCCTTCAGGGCAGCCTACACGAGCAGGTCTACCTGCGGCGCCCTCAGGGCTTCACTGGCACCTTCCCTCCTGGGACCCAGTGGCTCCTGCGGCGCCCCGTCTACGGCCTGCGCCAGGCTCCCCATGAGTGGCACGACACTCTCCGTGCTACGCTTGCTGACCTGCAGTTCTTTCCGTCTTCCGCAGACCCTTCACTCTTCGTTCGTGCTGGCCAGACTCCGTTCTACATCCTTGTTTACGTCGACGACCTGGTCTTTGCCACAGCTGACAGGGACGCACTGGCCTCCGTGAAGGCAGAGCTGCTGAAGAGACACACGTGCACTGACCTTGGAGAACTGCGCCGTTACCTTGGCTTGCAGATCTCCAGGGACAGAGCTGCGCGCACCATCACCCTGACTCAGTCACACTTGGTGCGCCAGGTCCTTCAGAGGTTCAGCCTTCAGTTCTCCTCCGCACAGCCCACCCCTCTGCCTGTAGACCACAGACTCTCCGCTCCAGTGTCTGAGGAGTTGGTAGAGCCCAGCGGCCCCTACGCAGAGCTGGTGGGTTGCCTCATGTACCTGATAACTTGCACTCGCCCAGATCTCGCATACCCTCTCAGCATCCTGGCTCGCTTTGTGGCCACAGGCAGGCACCGACCGCAGCACTGGTCTGCCGCTAAGAGGGTTCTGCGTTGTCTTGCTAGTACATCAGGCATGGGGTTAGTGCTAGGAGGACGCAGGCCAGTGGTCCTTACTGGACACACAGACGCTTCGTGGGCAGACGACGCTGAGACACTCAGGTCTACCCAGGGCTACTGCTTCAGCCTTGGCTCAGGTGCCGTCTCGTGGAGAGCTACCCGCTCCTCGTCTGTTGCGCAGTCCAGCTGTGAGGCTGAGATCTACGCTGGTGCCATGGCGGCACAGGAGCTCCGCTGGCTGACCTTCTTGCTCACCGACTTAGGTGAGCGGCCTAGCTCTGCCCCGGTCCTGTTCGCTGACAACAGGGCCATGATCCTCCTGTGTCAGGAGCCTCGACTCGAGGGCAGAGCAAAGCACATTCAGCTGCGGTACTTCCTCCTGCGTGAGCTACAGCAGCGACGTCAGGCTCGCGTAGTACACTTGGCCTCAGGTGCCAACACGGCTGATATCTTTACGAAGGCGCTTGCGCCTAAAGATCATCAGCGGCACTGTGTACAGCTTGGTCTAGTTCCTGTAGCCTCTCACTTGCTAGGACCTTGACTTTGTACTGTCCTTTATACGTATACTCAGACTGGACTTGTGTCCTCTCTCAGTGGCTGGACTAGTAGTGCCGCCCTGCTCTTGTTCTTGCCTTGTTCGTACTCCTTCTAACTGGTCTCTCAGACCCTTGTCTCAGAGGTTGGACTAGTAGTGCCGCCCTGAGCTGTTTGTTTAGGGCATTCCCCTATGCAGTCTAGGGGGTGTGTCAAACATGTGTATTTGTCATGTTTGTATAGACTGTATAGGGTCGTCTCTTAGAGAGTACAACACTTAGGTATATCTGTGTGTACTCTCACCCTATCAAACACTTCTTCAATTTCTGATATGTTGGTACCCAGCTCGAACGCCCCCTCCTAGTCGCTCTTCTGCGCATGCAGACGCAATGCAATACCATAAACTGATGGACGGGTTGGCGTGTGGTTTAAGGGGAACAGTGGAGGGAGTTAGAAATGAAGCCACGAGTGTCAATGAAAGACAAGGCAAGAGAGTATCAAGAGCAGGGTTCCCGATAGCAGACGAAATCCGTCTGATGGTCTGAAAATCAGACCCGTTTTTTGCTGTTCATCTGATTTTTGGACGGGGTCTAATATTTCGTCTGAACGTCCATACTTGTTATAAAATTTCGTCTGAATTCACAGACTTTAGTCTAGCGGTTCATCTGAGATTTCAGATAGCGAGGATATTCTCGTCTGACAGCGACAATTCCACCCACCAAACCCATTGATCCCAGGTCCAGGTTGGTAATGGCCAAGTTACTCACACCAGAGACATTCCTCCCCAAACGCCCCTCGCAACTTGTTGTTTTCCCATCTGTCCCGCACACTAGATACAATCCTCCCCCAACGCCCCTCGCAACTTGTTGTTTTCGGCTAAGTCCCGCACACTAGATATTCCAGCTTAGTCCCCTACACCAGATATATTCCTCCTTACGCCGCTCCCAACCTAATTCCCAATGTCCCCCACTGCCATGTACACTCCTTCCACACCCCCAAAAAAAAGCCTGAAGTTCCTCCCTCACCCAATCGCATTCCTGGGTTTTTTTTGCGATGGGCAAGGTCGGGATTAGCAGGTTTTTTTTGCGATGGGCAAGATCGGGCTAGCGAAGAACGGATGACGCTCAAACACCCTGTCTGCTCAAATATCAGTCCCTCAATCAGCTAACCCTGAGTGTGCGTGTGAGTTTCGTCTGAAAGTTCAGACATCGGTGTACGTTTCGTCTGAAACCTCAGACCTGAGGAATGTGCTCATATGATGGTCAGACGAAATTTTGAAACCCCGTCTGCTTTTCAGACGGGCTTAAAACTTAGCAAGAACCCTGATCAATAGGCAATTGTGAAATATTTCCATATTATTGCAAGGGTTTCGGGCTCAGCTGGCCTCCTCGAAGTTTGTGTGGCAACCTCATAATCAGAGTATGGGAAATAAGGAAGTGTTGCCTCCACCAAGGGTTGATGCCTCTCGCATTGCGTTCAATATAATGGACGAGACAATATTTTGCAGCTTGAAGTAAGAAAGCGAAAACCTCAATCCTCTACAGCGAGTTTTCAGAGATTCCCTGTAACACGAAAATCCTTCCACCACATCACCTTCCCCTCCCCTCCCCTCCCCTCCCCTCCCCTCCCCTCCCCTCCCCACCAACCGCCAGGTCAGTGCGAGTCTCGAGTTTCTTAGCAGCGAGTAGGATTCACAATTCGCCGATGTCGCCGTGCGGTTCAAAAAGGTAGAATGCGATGAGAAGACGTTGACGTGGGCAGGCCTAAGTTTTCAAGAGTAATTACCCGGATTTAATTATTTTTTCAGAGTTCCTCCGGGGTCCAGTCCGAATTTTTTAACGAGTGACCCACACAAGGGTTCCGGAAGATATATGAGTGTGCTTGGGCTGGGTTCCGGAAGAATCAGAATGCCCCTGTGGCCCAACCCGGAGGAATTTCCCCCACATCCCTCCACCCTCCCCCCCATTCCCCACCACACCACCCCACTCTTCCCCTTGCACTGACACCTCACTGAACCCCTTACAACCAAGGCAAACGGGATGAGATGCCCCCCTCTTCCCCTTGTGCTGTCATCTCTCTCTTCCCTCACTTGCTACCACTCCAGCATATGGCTAAACGGGATGAGCTGCCTTGCATGTTATTGGTGCAAATTCACACAGCACAGGGGAGAAACTCTGTCAGAGTAACTCGAGCCTTGATTCCGGATTAAACAGAATTCACCACGCCCCCAACTCGGACGAAAAAGAGTGGGGATGGGGGGGAACCCGGGAGAAACAGACCCTCCCAAACCCTTAGCGTAGGCCCTGGACGTGGACGCCCTTCGAACTTGCAGCACTAGCGCCTCCTACTGTCTCCTTGCAATCCCAAACACTTCCATTTTCGCAGCAGCCGCTGGCACTGGCATAATCGGGTTGACTGCGTCGGGTGATTGCGTTGCCAAAAAATACACCCAGGGACTTACAGACGACAACGAGAATACGACAGGCAAGGTCAATAGAGTTCGCACTAGCCGCCGACCCATAGACCGTCGCGACTCGCTAGGAGTTTATTTCTTCAAGAAACAAGCCCCGATTTGGACTCCAACCCGCGCACCCCGCGAGGTACTCTTCAAGGAGGTGCAAAACCGCTCTTAAAATCCTACATATATATATATATATATATGCTCCTATATAATAGCCTATATAGTCCTCCCGCCGCTTGTACCGCCGGGCGATGGGGACGCGACGGGGTATCGCGTGGCGGGACATGGCGACAGCGGTGGTGGTGGCGCTGGTGGTGGCGCGCTGCTGCATGCCTCTCGCACGGGCTGCACCCGTGCTGGACCCTGACAGTAAGCCGTGCTGGACCCTCGCAGAAAGCCGTTCTTCCCTCTCTCCATTCTTATTGATTCTCCCCAATCCACTATCCTCTCACTACTCCCCTTCTGTGGCATGGCATTTGACTGGTGTGGAATGGCACGGGTGAACGGCATGGTTGAATGGCATGGGTGAATGGCCTGGGTGAATGGCATGGGTGAATGGCATGGGTGAACGGCATGGGTGAATGGCATGGGTGAATGGCATGGGTGAACGGCATGTGCATGGCATGGGTGAATGGCATGGCATGGGTGAATGGCAGTGGGAGTGTTGGAGAGTTTGGCATCTGAATGGAGTGAGGTCAACGGAACGAGCACATGGAGCAGAGGCAGGGATTGTGAGAGCATGGCTCTTGTGCGCTGTGATGGCGACGGGCATGTCATTGCACTGTAAGCATGTCATTGCACTGTAAGCATCAACATGTATCTCCATGGCACGGAATGCCATGGCGGGACATGGCATGGCAGGACTTGGCATGGCGATTCATGGCATGACGATTGTGTACGGGTGCTTTCCAATCAGTGGGCTTCATATTTTCGCTCGCCCGCTGCTTCTCCCCTTCCCACACTGCCCTCTGCCACACTTGTCTTCTTTCCGTTCCTCCCTCGAATCCTCCCTCCGGTATTCCCCCTGTTCTTCCCGTGTTCCCCCCCAGCAACGTAGTCCATAGAGATCCGCATGAAATCTACTTGCCAGAGACCATCACGGGCTTCACGCACCTCACCATGCTGTAAGTGCTATGGCATGGCATGGCATGGCATGGAATGGCGGTAAGCGTTTCAAGGTGTGGGTTAGAATATGGTCGAGAAAGCGGTTGCTTGGCGGTTTGCAGAATTCCCTGCTTCCATGCAGCAGCCTTCCCCCATCTACCCTTACTCTGTTTCCTGGTAAGGCTACTACTGGCTTTAACACTTCCCTTTCTTTCTCCTCCCTTCCATTCTCCCGCCTTCCATTCTACTCCCTTCCATTCTACTCCCTTCCATTCTACTCCCTTCCATTCTCCTGCCTTCCATTCTCCTCCCTTCCATTCTCCTCCCTTCCATCCCACAGGTCCATCACGGACAGCTTCCTGATCGGCCCCCTGCCAGCTGCTATCTTCACCATGCCCAATCTCAAGCACCTGTGAGACTCCTGCTCATGCCACTCCCTCCCATGCTGCCACCTCCCCACCCTCCCTCCATCCTTCAATATGTCCTTGTATAAAGTAGGGGGCATGGTACAGTCATGGCAGGTGAGAGAGAGATACAGCAAACAGACAACATCAGACACCTAGTGCTCTAGACCATGGCCACCCTAAGGGTCGCCAAGGTCAGGCTCGAGGACCTGCAGCAAGTCGCCCACAGGGAGGGGCTCCGCGGGGAAGCCGAGCGGGCTCTCCTCAGCCGCAAGGGCCTGGTTAATCTTCGTGTTGAGGGCGACAGCCTGCCCGCGCTGCAGAGTGACCGACCAACGCTGGTGGTACTCGTGGAACAGCTTGGCGGCCTCGCGAGAGGTAGGTGCAACCCCGTACCGGCGTTTCGTCGCCAGCTCGGCACAAGCACGGAGAAAGCGGAAGACCCCCGGGGAGGTGATGTGTCCGTAGGTCTCGGCGGCCAAGGCATAGAATCCGACCCACTCGGGGCGGGCTGGCGGGCGGTACTTGCACTTCTTCCCGCGGGCAGCGATTCGGACCGCCCACCCAGTACCCCGGCGGGCATGCTCGTACTCCTTCGAGATGGGGTCGGTCACGGTCACGTCGCATATCCAAACCACCCCCGAGTCGGGGTGGCGGATGGCCACATCCACCCAAAGGTTCACGACGCGGGTGAAGAGGAAGGTCTCGGTGCGGGTGATGAAGCCAGCCTCGAGGGCAATCCTTGCGCATTCGTCATGGAGGGCGTGGTGCGTGCTGGTGCGTCCAAGGCCCGTATCACACCTGCGAAGGTGGTTGGGGAGTCGGGGGTCCTGGATGTCGACACGCCGCCAGCAGTCACAGCGTCCTGGCATAATTTGTGGAAGGCCGAGACGGAAGGCGACGGCGGTGGAGAAGTGGCCGGGGGAGAGGCGAAGGGAGGAGGAGAGGGGAGGGCATAGCGCCAATTCCCTGCTCCCGGACCCATGAGGGAGAGGAGGCGCTGGGTGTGCCCCTGGAGCGGGTTCAGGGGCAGCTGGCGGGCCTCCTGCAGGAGCGCAGTGAAGAGCTCTGCCTGGACCTGCAGAGCCAAAGCCCGCTGCAGCTTAGGGGGGTCGGGGGAAGCCCGCTCTTCCCGAAACAGCTCAGCACCGGCCTGTGGGAGGGCGGCTTCCAGCTCAGCAGCGGCAGGGTCGGGGTCGAAGAGGGGCAGGAGCTGGCCCAGTGTAGCGGGAAGGGACGGGAGGAGGCCACTGAGCAAATGTGCAGTGGCCGTCGTGGAGGTGAGGTATGCCGCTCCTGCTTCAGCAGCGGGGTTGCAGATCCCAGGCCCACCAAGGGTGGTCGGTAGGGAGGCTTGCGCCCAAACCCGCCGCTTCTCGGGTCTAGCACGGGGGAGCGGCAGGCGGCAGGCATTCAGCGCCGCGTGGAAGAGCCGCTCGCCCCAAGCGTCCCACTCCGCCCGGGGGAGGCACTCGGGGGGGGTCGAGCGGAGCAAGTAACTGGCGTGGCAGGCGAGGCAGCGCGAGAGGAGGAGGAGGGCGATCTGGGGATCCAGCTCTGCGATCAGCTGCAGTGGGGCGGCGGCGGTGTCGAGGCGGTCGCGGATGGCAGCGGCGCAGGCGTCCACAGGCCCCACCGAACTGCCGAGGACGCCCAGGCATGTGGCGCTGGCGGAAATGCCGGGCGGCAGCATCACGGGCGGCACGCCCTGTGGGCCCCAGGCCTCACACTTCGCTGGGTTGTGGTGGAGGCCGCAGCCGCCAATGGCGGTGGTGAATTGGGCGAAGGCAGCGGAACTTGCTGTTGGCGGACCAAGGAGCATGACATCGTCCGCATAGGCGAGGGCGAGTACTTGGGGGAAGGCGGCGGCAGTTTCCTTGAGCAGGGGGTGTAGCCCCGCCGCAAACAACAGGGAACCCATAGGGTCCTCTTGGCGGACTCTGCGGGCGCTGGCGAGTGGGTGGGGGGGAGCCGAAACTGTGGTCGACATGGAGGGCGGAAGGGCCACCGTACGAGAGCCGCACGAATGGGGCGAGGAACTCCAAGGGCGTTCCCCAGAGCCCCGTGAAGACGGCGGCACGTTCAATCGCGTTGAACGCGTTTGAAACGTCGATTTGGAGAGCGATGTGTCCCGCGTTGATGTCAAGGTAGGCGCGGGTGATGTGGATTATCACCTCCGCGCCGCCGGGGATGGCAACCCCGAACTGAATGGGTGTGAAGTGAAGCTGGGCGGGCCGTGCGGCGAGGTGGAGCACGGCTTTGGCGATCAAACGGTGGAGGCACTCGCCGACAGCGATAGGCCGAGTGCCGCCACCTGGCTTTGTGAAGGCAAGGAGGCGCGAGGAGGTGAGCAACGCGGAGGCCTCGGGGCAAAGAGCACCAGCGAGGGCCACGTTCGTGAGGGCCAGGAGGTGGCCACAAATGTCGGAGTTGTGAAGCGCCGCGTCCCGGGAGGATTTCAAAGGACGTCTCCGCGGGGCTAGTTCCTACGCCATTAGGTAGCTGGCTGATGATGTGGCGGAAGGACTTCTCTGAGATAGTGGGCTTACGCTTGAGGGTGTGTGAGAGGACCCACTCCGGAATGTCAAGTGAGGCAGGTGGGTGGCGGGAATGGAGAGCGGAAAACGTGTCGGCGGTGGAGGGGCTGACTGGGGTGGCTTCCAGCGCTTGAAGGGCTTTTCCAAGGTTCCCGTGCTTAGCTAAGCCCGAGGCACGGGACAGAATCCCAGTCCTGTCAGGCATGTGGCGCTGGGGTGGAGGGAGAGTGATGGCAGCAATGGCTTCGGCGTAAAGATCTGCCCAGGAACCTCGGCGAAACGAGTCCAATCGGCGCTCAACGGAGGGCCAATCAGGCTTGCGGGCAGTGCCAACGCGGAGGGTAAGGCGGGCAAGGAATATCAGCAGGCGCCAGGCTGGCACCGAGTCTAGGTACTTGGCCAATCGGAGGAGCGGGGTCAGCAGACAGCTGGCGAGTTGGTCCCGAATGTGACGGGGTGGGTGGCGGCCAAGTGGGGGTTGGCGTCTGTCGCGAAGGGGATCGATTTCCCAGCTGGACACCTGGACGAAAATATCCTCCCGAACCGCCAGCGCCTCGGGCGAGAGAAATTGGGGATTCGGGTTCAGGAAGTCCTCGAATTCCGCATGTCTCCGGTTCGGGGCGGCTCGGGCCCCACCTCGCGTCGGGCCCCCTCCTTCTGCAGCACTGTTATCCCCAATCACAGACTCGGAGTCCCCCTCGGAAGAAGGGGTATATCTGGAGTCACCCGATCCTTCCTCACCATTCCCAGCAGCGGCGCTTTCTCCTCCAGCTGCCACCTTGCTCCCTTAGTCTAATCTCCACACTGCTAGGGTGCTCCTGCCTGGCCTCTGCCCCCCAATTATCAGCCGTGTCAGCCAATCTGCGGCGTACAGCCTGGACGAACGTGCCGCCTGTGCTTCCACGAGCTACACTCCTCCCCGCTCCTCGCCGTCCTCGTCCGTGGTCTCCGTTTTGACGCGGCGCTGGCCATCGGCGCCCGTCGAGATCGCCCCTGTGGGGTCCACCATCAAACGCCTCCCCGCGATGGCGTCATCTCGGTCATATGGGTGCGGACGATCCCCGGAGTGGGGGTACAGTCAGCGGGCAGGGGATCGCTGACCCGCGCGGTCCCCGGAGCCGTGCTACTGCTCATGGGCGCCCGAGTGGCGGAGCCCGCCCCGCCGCTTTCCGATGCTTGATGCTCACTGGCGCGGGTCGCGGAGGCCGTCGCGTACCCAGCAGCATGGCCCTCAGGTGCAGCAAGGGGGCTCGGCCGCCCGCTCCCCAAGCGTCGACGAAGTAGTCGCTCGGGTGCTCGCCCGCGTGCGTGCGGTGATGCGGGCATTGGCAGTGCCGGCTGCCCCAGCTCCAGTGCCGGCGGCTCCCGCGGCTCTTCCGCCAGCGGCGGTGGCGGTGCCAGCGCAGCTTCCCCCCGCCTGGCTGCCGCAGGGGACCCCTGTCCCTGGGATTCTGTATCGCGCGGAGCATCCCTGGGTCCCAGGGCCAGGGGGGACTCCTCCAGTGATGCAGACGCCGGCGCCGCCGTCGGCAATCTCACCACCCCCTCCGCCGCCGCCTCCGCCCCACGCCCAGTCGCTTGCGGCGACAGCGCCGCATCCAGCATGGCAGTCTCCGCCCCCTCAGGAGGTGGGGCAGGGTGAAGGGGGGGGGTCCGGCGGGCAGGGGGAGAACGGTGGGTGGGAGGACCACTCGGGCCTGACGGCTGGCGGTCATGGGCGCAAGTGTCAGCGGACGGGGGAGTTCCCCCCGGGTCACGCGATGGGCGGGCAGCCAGCGACGGAGGCGATGGCCCGGGCAGCGGCTGAGGACACGATGCGGCTTCTGGACTCGGCCAGGGACTGCCTCGCGCGCCTGACGATGGTGGTTGAGGTGTCGGGGTACGGCCTTGGCTGCTCCGACGAGGAAGGGCTGCTGTCGGAGAGGCAGCCGGTTGCATGCGCGACGCAGACGGCGGTGGCGAGGGCGGTGCTGACCGCCGCGTGGCGCAGCGTGACCGCCGCGTGGTGCAGCGTGACCGCCGCGTGGCCCGGGCTCGCTCAGGGAATACCGCTGCCGGTGGGGCCCACCGTCGTCCTGGCGGATCTGGAGGGCAAGCTGGAAGGGGCGCAAGGTGTAGAAGTAATCGACGGTGCCGTGTCAGTGTTCCGAGAGCTGGATCGAGCTGTGTACTGTCTGCTGGAGGATCTCTACGCAGCGAGGTAGCGGGAGATCGACGGCTGGCGTAATGCTGGTCCACGGGCGTTAGTCGCCCTGCCAGCGCTTCTGGCGTGGGTACCTGCATGCATAACGGATGCTGGGGGTCCCCGCGGGGACCCCCATCCCTTAAACGGCCTAGAAGGTCGGCTTGTATGTCTTTGTTGAAGGGAAAACAGGGTTGAAGTTTCTTGCCATCCCCGCGAGCAACAGCAACCGCAGGCCGCCGGCGCGAGCTGCCTCACAGCAAGTATGCGAAGGAAGAACTGACAACTAGAATAGGGAGGAGAAGCAGGAGAGGGCTTATATAGAGCAAGGAGAGGGCTCAGGAGCACTTGTCCCCTCTCCCTCAATTGGTCCTTTGCATAAGGTAGGGTAGGGTACAGGCATGGCAGCGGACAGCGCACAACAGGTGAGACCTAACAACCCAGGCCAGGGGGCCTTAAGGGTCCCCCAGCACTGGCTCTAACACATGCAACAGGTCCCCCACAGCGAGTGGAGCCGCCGGCTCACCCCAGGGCTGCTCCTCAGCGGCGAGAGCCTCGTTGATCTCCGTGTTGAGGGCCACGGCTTGGCCCCGCTGCAGAGTAACCGACCATCACTGGCGGTACTCGTGGAGCAGCTTTGCAGCCTCCGGGCAGGTGGGAGCCGCCTGGTGATGCTTGCGTGCCGCCAACTCGGCGCACTGCTTGAGAAAGCCGAAGACGCCGGGCGAAGAGCAGCCATACGTCTCCGTTGCCATCGCAAAAAAGCCAACCCACTCCGCACGGGCCGGGGGGCGGTACTTGTTTTCCTTGCCCCGGGCTGCCACTCGAGCAGCCCATCCAGTCCCCTTACGAGCCAATGGATCGTCATGGGAGATGGGATCAGTCAGAGTGACGTCACACATCCACACCACCCCTGAGTCCGGGTGGCGGATGGCGACGTCCGCCCAAAGATTGGAGACCCACGTGAAGAGATTGGTCTGCTTCCGCGTAATGAACCCCGCCTCGATGGCTATCCGAGCACATTCATCCCGCAGGGCGTGGTGCGCGCCCGTCCGACCTGGCCCATTAGCGCACCTCAGGAGGTGGTTGGGAAGGCGGGGATCGTCGATGTCGGTACGGTCTGTGCAGTCACAGACGCCCAGGGTGGAGTGAGGGAGCCCCAGGCGGAATGCCACGATGGTGGAGAAGTATCCAGGGCTGAGGCGGAGGGAGGACGAGAAGGGGATGGCGTGCAGCCAGTCGTCCGCCCCCGGGCCCATGAGCGAGAGCAGGCGCTGCGTGTGCCCCTGGAGCGGGTTGAGAGGCATGCGGCGAGCCTGGTCCAGCTGGAGCGTGAAACGTTCCGCTTGCACCTGCAGCGCCAGCGCCCGCTGAAGCTTGGGCGGGTCCGGCAAGGTGCTATCCTGGCGCAGAAGGTCCGCTGCAGAAGGTGGCAGGGAGTTCTTGAGAATGGCAAGGCGGCGGGGGGAGGGCGTGGGGCCGGCGGGATCGGGGTTGAACTGTCTCAGCAGGTCGGAGATGGCACTGGGCAGCGACGGAAGGCTGCCCAGGAGATGGGCTAAAGCGGTGACAGAGGTCAGGTAGCTCGACGCCGCCTCCGCAGCAGGGTTGGTGATGCCGAGCACGCCGAGGGTGGTCGGGAGGGACGTCTGGTCCCACACGCGCCTGCGCTCATGGCGACCCCGCGGCAACGGCAGACGACTTGCCGACAGGGCCGTGTGAAAGAGGCCCTCCCCCCAAGCATCCCACTCGTCCAGGGGCAGCAGCTCGAGCGGCGTGGAGCGCAGCAGGTAAGCCACGCGTTGGGAGACGCAGCGGGTGAGAAGCTGCAGGGAAAGCTGGGGGGCGTTCTTCTCATTTCTTTTCTTTTCTTGTCTTTTCAAACATGCCAGTTTTGATCTGTCTCACCTTGTTATCAACACTCCGACATGCCAAACTTGCCAGTTCATCTTTCCCCCATGGTTGCTCCCTTGTGATCCCGCATGCTGCCTGCATGGATGAGACGCACGGGGACATGGGCGGAGTTGAATGCATACGGATGCATGTGCGATGGCCGTGTGCTCATGATGCATGTGTGCTCATGATGCCTGTGTGCTCACGATGCACGTGTGCAGTAATCTCAGTCATTGCGTACTCTCAGGCAACTTACCTGATGCAGTAGGCCTTGCAACAGGCCTCCAGACCCTGTCAGTCTTTGCATCCATCCATCCATCCATCCATCCATCCATCCATCCGTCCATCCATCCATCCATCCATCCATCCATCCATCCATCCGTCCATCCATCCATCCGTCCATCCATCCATCCATCCATCCATCCATCCATCCATCCATCCATCCATCCATCCATCCATCCATCCATCCATCCGTCCATCCATCCGTCCATCCATCCATCCATCCATCCATCCATCCATCCATCCGTCCGTCCGTCCGTCCATCCATCCATCCACCCATCCACCCATCCAACCATCCATCCATCCATCCACCCATCCACCCATCCACCCATCCATCCATCCATCCATCCATCCATCCATCCATCCATCCATCCATCCATCCATCCATCCATCCATCCATCCGTCCGTCCATCCATCCATCCATCCATCCATCCATCCATCCATCCGTCTGTCCGTCCGTCCGTCCGTCCGTCCTTCCATCCATCCATCCATCCATCCATCCATCCATCCATCCATCCATCCATCCATCCACCTATCCATCCGTCCATCCATCCATCTATCCGTCCATCCATCCATCTATCCGTCCATCCATCCATCTATCCGTCCATCCATGCATCCATGGCTTGTTCACACAACAGCAGCAGCCCTTTCAGCCAACCTGATCTCAGGCGGGCACCCAATTGTTTTCCATCCATCTGTCCTTGGTTATACTGACCCTCACCCTTTCCATCCATCCATCCATCCTTCCATGTATTCATTGCCCGTCGCCCATGTTTGTGTATGTTCCCTGCAGGGATCTGTATTACAATCAACTCGAAGCCCTCCCTGCTTCCCTGGGAAACCTCACGACTCTCACGCACCTGTCAGTCCTCTCACGCACCTCTCACTTCTTTCTCACGCGCTCTTACAGACAGCCCCCCACAACACTTCATTTTCCTGTTCTTCCTCTCAGGCCGTCCTTTATGTTCATTGGAACCCTGGGTACGGAGTTTTGAGGCGCCTCAAAAGTCGTCTCTTTATCCGTGGAAACCTGGGTACGGAGTTTTGAGGCGCCTCAAAAGTCGTCTCTTTATCCGTGGAAACCTGGGTACGGAGTAAGGCATGTGGGCCAGGTATAAGCATGCATCCAAATCCCCCCCTCCCCCCTCTGCTAGCCTTCGCTGCTGCCTCCTCCTCTCTCTCTCAGTGCTGCCCAATCTCCCCTTCCCACCGTCTACCGCCTCTCACCCGTTTCCGTCCGTCCTTCCGTCCGTCCGTCCGTCCGTCCGTCCGTCCGTCCGTCCGTCCATCCGTCCGTCCATCCATCCATCCATCCATCCATCCATGTTTCTGCTGCCTTTTGCCCATGTTTGTGTGTGCTACTGCCTGCAGTGGTTTGGGCCACAACTGGTTTTTTGGCTCCCTCCCCGATTCTTTGAGCAAGCTATCTTCTCTCGTGTACCTGTCAGTCCTCCCATGCACCCTCGGTCCTATTATGCACCTCGTCGCTCTTCCTCACCTACCTGAACACCTAGCCAGCCGCTCTCACTCTGCCACCCAGCTTTCCCTCCGCACCATATACCAGCATCTGCATTCCCACTGCACAAATCCAATCCACCCTGCTCGGGTGCATCATATCCAATCCGCCCCACACCAGTAGTAACCTACTCTAGCAACGGCCTGCAAGCTCCTCTCCCTTGTCCCCCCTCCACTGCTCCTGACACTCCTCGCCTCCTCCCTGCGCCCCAACTCCTGCCCTCCTCCCTCTTCTCCCCTCCGTGCCACCTCCCTTGCCTGTCATCGTCCCAATCATGCCACAGCTCAGCAAACCGCAACGGCCTCAACGGTTCCATTCCCCAATTTCTGGGCAATCTGCACCGCCTCACATACCTGTGAGTGCGCATCGGGGTGAGGCAGATGGGCAGGCTGAGCTGAGAGGGTAAGAGGGTAGGAAGAGCACCTACGAAGGTACTCGTACTGATGATGGCTCCAATGGCTCCACTCCTTGCGTAGCCTGTGGCACTGCATTCGTACCTGGCAGCCCATTCGACCCCTGGCCGCCCATTCGACCCCTGGCAGCCCATTCGACCCCTGGCAGCCCATTCGACCCCTGGCAGCCCATCTGCTCAATCGCCCCTCCCCACCGCCTCTCACCCCTGTTTCTGTCCATCCATCCAAGTTTCTGCTGCCACTTTTCCATGTTTGTGTGTTGCTGCCTGCAGTGGTTTGAGCGACAACACACTTTCTGGCTCCCTCCCTGCTTTCTTGGGCAACCTCTCCTCTCTCGTGCACCTGTCAGTCCTCTCATGCACCCTTGGACCTATCATGCACCCTTGGACCTATCATGCACCCTTGGACCTATCATGCACCCTTGGACCTATCATGCACCCTTGGACCTATCATGCACCCTTGGACGGACCTATCATGCACCCTTGGACGGACCTATCATGCACCCTTGGACGGACCTATCATGCACCCTTGGACGGACCTATCATGCACCCTTGGATGGACCTATCATGCACCCTTGGACATATCATGCACCGTCAGTCCTCTCAGCACTCCCTCATCTGCCTCAACACCTAGCCAGCCACTCTCACTCTGCCACCCAGCTTTCCCTCCCCACCATCTACCAGCATCGGCATTCCTACTGCACAAATCCAATCCACCCCACACCAGTAGCAGCCCACTCTATCAACTGCCTGCAAGCTCCTCTCCCTCCCCCCTCCACTGCTCCTGACACTCCTCACCTCCTCCCTGCACCCCAACTCCTGACCTCCCCCTTCTTACCCCCTTCCCCCTCTTCTCCCCTTCTCCCTTCCTCCCTTTCTCCCTCTCCTCCATCGCCCCTCCTCCCAATCGTGCCGCAGCTCGGCAAGCCAAAGCACTCTCAGCGGGTCCATTCCCGAAGAGCTGGGCAATCTGCACTGCCTCACGTACCTGTGAGTGTGCATCGGGGTGAGGCAGATGGGCAGATGGGCAGATGGGCAGATGGGCAGATGGGCAGATGGGCACTCTGAGAGGGTGAGTGGGTAAGAGCAGGGTGCCTGTGCAGGTACGCATACTGATGGCGGCTCCACTCCATTTATAGCCCCTGCCAGCCCATCTGTCCCTTGCATCCTCTCTGCCCTCCCCCATCCCTACCGTACACCAGAGACCTCAACAATAACTGCCAAAAACGAAAGATATAGAGCACTGTAGGATTTTGGTCAGACGGCTAACGTTTACCACAAATCGGTGCGGGTATAAAACGCTGTGGTAAAATTGGATTTGGGGCGCCTATGTGCTGTTTTCAAGCAGCAAGTTGAGCTGAAAACGGTTTTGTTTTTGAAATGACGGCGCAATGTCGGGTTGACTGACACGAGGTGTAGGATTCATCTACACGACACGCAAACGATGACTTGACACATGACTAGCGGAAACTCGCTAATATTTCGACACACACAAACGACAGTGGGATGCACCATTCAAGCGCTCTCACAAGCATCACATAACAACTTCATTGGCTCACACATCATTCCATCATGATATGCATCACACACACGAAAAAGACCAACAAGTCGAGTGCAATCCATGTGGTTGCACCAACAGGGACTGGTTATGAGGCGCCTCAAAACTAGACTCCTATCATGTGGTTGCACCAACAGAGGCTGTCAGCAACCTCAAGCAGCAGCGACAGTTGTGAGTGGCCATGGGGTCGCGAGGTGCTATGGAATGGTGGGCAAATTTGTGATGTGGGCGATTGAGTGCGTGAGTGAGAGAGTGAGTGGGTGAGTGAGTGAGTGAGTGAGTGAAGGAATCCTCATGAGCTAATGGTCCGGATCTCACAAACCCATCAAGTGCGCGACGGTGGTGCTGCAGAGTGGCTAAGCTCCCGAGACTGAAGCAAGGTTGATGAGGTCGAGGCCGGCTGTCTCCCCCAACCACGCAGGGGCAGTCTCCCTCAAGCAAACATTATACGTAGAGGGCAGTTGTGTTGCTGTCAGGCTTAATCAAGGTCAAACGCACAGCTCTCGTCAAGTATGCACTTGCACACTGTGACTCAGGTACAGTCGGAACTCAGGTACAGTCGGAACTCAAAGTAAAACCAGAACTCATGTCAGGTTGCAAATCCATCCTCGGAACATATCGAGTTTGTGGCGGTGATGCTGCTGCAGAAAGAAGAGCATGAGGCAAAGTGTTCCCGTCAAAGAGGCAGTGCACTGCTGATGCATGCACTGCTACTGCTGCAAGGCAAGCACCCGCTGGTGCATGTGAGGAGGAGGAGGACATGTGTCCCCTCGAACTGTCCCACACCCTGCCATTGCCTCAGCATGCATGCAGCATCACCCTTTCAAACACGAGGTGGCTTTAGCCTGAAACAGGTGTGTTTTGATTCGACGCAAAACACGCCTCTCCCTTAGCTTGCAACATCACACCCTCTCACACACGAGGTGGCTTACAGACTGAAGTAGGTGTGTTTTGAGTCGACTCAAAACACGCCTCTGCCTGCCTCAGATGCAGCATCACCCTTTCAAACACCATGTGGCTTAAAGCCTCTTGCGCTGCTGCCTCTTTCCTCGCTCAATCTGTTCCTCCCCTTATCTGCCTCCCTCTCTTATATCTCATTGCTCGTCCCTTCCTCCCACCCAACCCCTTCCCTGCTTCATCCTCCCGCTGCTGCCCTCCCTTCCATCTCGCAACGACAACAAGATATCCATCCGCACCACGCTTCACCACACTTCACCGCACTTTACCGCACTGTGCCACACATCATTGCAGGACCCTCAGTCACCAAAAGCTCTCAGGGGCCATCCCTGAGTCAATTGGAGCCCTCACCAACCTGGAATATCTGTAAGGACGGAGAGTGAAGAACAACAGAATAATCAGCTTCCGGTGACCTGGACTTGAACAATCAGCTGACCTACCTAGCTTGTTCGTGTTTTTTAGTAATCGTAGCAGCAACAACGCTCGTAGACAGCAAGAAGACCGGACAAGGTTCAAATCCGTGTGAAACGTACAAGGCACCCAGAATAGAAATATGTTCTCTAGCACGAGCTCATGCCATCCCGTCCCATCCCATCCCATCCCATCCCACCCCATTCCACCTCATCCCATCCCATGCCGTCACATGCCATGCCATTTCACTGCAGGGACCTGAAGTTCAACAGGCTGACTGGCACCATCCCTGCCTCCATAGCCAACCTCACCCGCCTCACTGAACTGTGCGCGCCCATTCTCCCTCCACCCTCCCACCTCTCTCCCTTCTCCCTCTACCCTCCCAGCTCTCTCCCTGCCTACTTTCCACCTGCCCACATTCTACCTGTTTCTAGTCCAATAAAAAGGAAACTCGGCTTTCTGCTGTTGTGGGTGTGTGTGTGCGCGCCACTCAAAGCACGCACCCCCCACGGAATAGCAGTCGCGCTGATCCCCTCTTTGTCTTCCCAGACACCCTCCCTGCCCTCGTCTCTTTTCCCTTCCATATCCATCCATCCTCCCCTCTCCAGAGTTCTCTCCAACAACTTCCTTGCAGGGTCACTTCCTGCTGCACTCAGCGCACTCACGAATCTCGAAGAAGTGTCAGTATTACACTAATTACTGAAAATGTGCCGATCAGTGCCACCCTTACAGATCGCGTCTGCTCATTTTTCACTGCTGTAAGCACCTGCCTGCTCCCTTCACTTGTCGAATGAGTGGGCTCCACGCATTCCCTCCAATGCTCTGGTCAACCTTGCAACCAACCACTCTCCATGCCCCTCCCATGCCTAGAAAATCGTAAGCATAACCAATTTTTAAAATGGTCAGCATTCTTCCTCCTGAGCCCCTCTCCACTCCGTTCCACTCTGTCCGCCCAAGTTCTTCTGCTCTCACTCAAGCCTACACCCAACAGCAACCACCACAGGCCACTGCTGTCCGTCACTCCCCAATCTCTTCCCTCCCACAACCTTCCCTCCCACAACCTTCCCTCCCACAACCTTCCCTCCCTAATTCCCTGTACTCCTCACTCTCTTCACCCCTTCTTGCCCCCACTCCCCTTCCCCACCAACCCTTTCCTGCCCATCTCCTCCTCCTCTCTCCTTCCTTCCCTTGTGCTCACAGCTCCCTTGAGTACAACCAGCTGGCGGGATTCCTTCCTTCCTTCCTTCCCCCACTCCAGCCGCCCCGTAGGCGCCTCAGAAATCCCACCCCTCCTCCTCCTCCCGCCCTCCTTCCCTTGTGATCACAGCTCCCTTGAGTACAACCAGCTGGCGGGATCCCTCCCATCCTTCCACCACTTGAGCCGCCTCAGCAGGCTGAAAGCCAGCAACAACTACCTCACAGGCAGAGCAGCGCCGTTTCCTGAATGCCTCTCTCCAGATCGCACCTCGGCCTGCCCCCATGACTGCCTCTACCCCCCTACTGAGTCCGACATCCACGGAAACTGCCTTGTCGGATCTACTTTCTCGTGTGAGGGGTGGCAGAAGAGTAGCCACGAATGCCGGTTGTTCTGTGGGGCCCGGCCTCTCACCCCGCCCTGCAGCGGCCATGGCGTGTGCTCCTTTGAGCCAGGCGAATATCACAACATGCCTGCAATGGGGGCACAGTGCACGTGTGATGAGGGGTACATGGGAGCTGCTGGCACTTGTGTCCCTCGAGGTAACATGAGAGCGGGCTAATGCTCTTGCTAGCTGCTAAACTGTTTCGTTTCCCTTATTTTCCGGACCATCAGCTCTTCTTCGCTGCATTCCGCTGTGTTTCAAGGCTGCTTGCTGGGAAGCCTGCTTGCTGTTTGCTGGGAACTTCGAAGTTTCCTTCTACAGATATCGTGCTGACCTGCCCTGTCGGCACCAATCCCCTCTCGTTACAACACACTCCGTAAACCAGCAGGTTCTGCATTTGTGTGGGCGGCACTGTCAGCTCTCCAGGCGCCTCGAAATCTGCTGCTGCTGCTGGTGCTGCTTCCTCTGGCGGTGCTGCTGCTGCTGGCCTTCTCACTGCCACAGTTTTTACGACGTTTTAAGAACAAACCCCATGCAGCTCGTTATTTTTTTTCAAAGAAAGCCGTTGCTGCCCGGCGAGCTGCTCTATGTGTAGAGGTCACTTCCTAGGCAGACGGCTAGCAAGCAGACAAGAAGTGACCACGGCCATCCCATTCAGTCAAACTTTGCTCCTGGTTCCCATTTACATTGCGTTTCCCGCTCTTTTTGAGGCGTTTTATTGGTCTAGTGCAAGGTGCAGAACATACAGATGGTCTGGCCATCCCTGAGTGAAATGGCAAAAACTTGTTCTGCGGTTTTTAATGTGATTGGTTCTCATCTCAGACTGCAACCCAACCCAATGGCATAAAAAAATCCGCCAGCGTTATGGGTACCTCTGATAACAGCATCGGCATCAGCATCGGCATCGGCATCAGCGTCGGCATCGGCATCAACATCGGCATCAAGATGAGCACCAGCGTCAGCATCACCAGCAGTAGCACCCCAATTGCCCCCCTTCCCATCACCATTCCCATCGCCACTTCCATCACCATTCCCATCACCATTCCCATCGCCATTCCCATCGCCACTCCCATAGCCACTCACATCACCATTTCCATCACCATTCCCATCACCATTCCCATCACCATTCCCATCACCATCGCCTTCCTCCGGCTCAACACCCGACGCAGCAGCAAAGCCCGGTCCACTTCCACCCACTCATCCATCCACCCCCCTCCTCTACAATCCCATCAGAGCCCCCACCTACATCCACACCCACACCATCAACCTACACACACACGAGCTCCCCTCCCGCACCCGCACCCGATTCCCGTGCCCATCCCCACGCCCGTCCTCATTCCCGCACTCATGCCGATGTCCAGGATCCTGTCGTCATTCACGACGTCCTCTAGGTGCCAGAAGAAGTGAGGCACGTGAGTGTGTTCCAGCACCACACACAACGACTCAAATATGCACTGCCGGTATCTGCACGCCCCCCCCAGCCGCTCCTGTGCCCTTGCAAACGCAGCACCGCGAGCTGATGGATGGGTGGATGGGTGAGTGTGAAGGGGAACAGTGGAGGGAATAAGAAATAATCGAAGGCACGAGGATCAGTGAATACAAGGCGAGGGAATATCAAGAGACAATGAGGACTTATTATCGATTCCAGGGGTTTCGGGTGGGTAGAGAAGCTTTGAGGGAGGTGAGCTGAGAATACCTACCGTACTTGCATGTGGCCTGGCCAAGCCAAAGACAGGCTTACAATAAGCACTCATATTGAGAACAACAGCGATGCCATCATCACCCTGGGTCCGCTCCAATGAGGCATCTCGTCGTGGTTCAATGAGGCATCTCGTCGGGCTCCAATGAGGCATCTCGTCGTGCTCCAATGAGGCATCTCGTCGTGCTCCAGTGAGGCATCCCGTCGTGCTCCAGTGAGGCATCTCGTCATGCTCCGATGATTTAATACACTCGAAACTAGTTGAATTGGCCAGAATCATCGACGCCACTCAAAACTACCTCGCAGCCACACCTGGCCCTTTCCCTCGGTGCTCCAAGCACGGTCCCTCTCCCCTCATTGCATCTATGACCCGCCACGCTGCCCCGACATGCAACTCTCTATCCAGCGCAGCAAAACTGCCTCGCTGGCAGTCTGCCCGAGTGCGACGATGAGCGGCCGCAGCGGAGTGCCAGCGAGTGCCTGTCATTCTGTGGGGCCAGCTTCGACCCCCCAACCCCGCCCTGCAGCGGCCATGGCGTATCCTCCTTGGAGCCCGTCCGCCTGTGATGTAGGCGGCCCGCCCTCATTCTGCTACCCTACTTTATGGAGAGCACGGTGATAAATGGGAGGCGCGGTGCACGTATGATGAGGCGTTCACGAATACTCCCACCCACACCCTCACCCTCACCCACACCCACACCCACACCCACACCCACACCCACACCCACAACCACACCCACACCCACACCCACACCCTCACCCACATCCATACCCACACCCATACGCACACCAACACCGACACCCACACCCACACCCTCACCCACACCCACACCCACACCCTCACCCACACCCATACCCACACCCATACGCACACCGACACCCACACCCACACCCACACCCTCACCCACACCCACACCCACATCCACACCCACACCCTCACCCTCACCCACACGCACACCCTCACCCATACAGCACCACCACTTCCCGCACTCATGCTGCAGTAATCCATAGTCCCATATAAAAAAGGGGGCATGGAGTGAAACATGTGTGTGCGCTCCAGCACGACCCTCGACTCAAACATCTCTTGCCAGTACCCAGACAACCCCCCAGGTCCCCTCCCTTCCCGTGGAAACCTTAGTACCAATCCCCTTAGCATGTGGGCGGCCGAGTGGGTGAAAGGAAGAATTGGAGGGAGATGGAAAATAATAGAGGCACAATGGTTAGCGCAAGTAAGACTAAGGGGGAAATTGTCAAGAGGCAAGAGTACGTATTTTCCCACGACATGTTTGTATTTTAAAGAAGACAGATGCATTGGATGAGACTATCTTCGACAAAGAGTTCTCCAAAGTTTCCTACAACTCGTAAATCCTTCTACTGTCTCATATCGCGTGCTGTTGCTGGCCTTCATGCTGCCACTGTTTCTGAGGCGCTTAAAAAACAGACGCTCTGCATGCTATTTCTTCTCAAAGAGAGCCCTTGCTGCCCGGCAAGCTGCTTTGCATGTAGAGGTCAATTGATGGTGTGCAAGTCACACGGCTTCCAAGGGTTCACCACCCGGCATATTCGACCCCTGGGCAGGGGTGATTTCATCCGACAATGTGTTTTATGTAATGTGTTTCCTATTATGCCTATTTTTGGGCCTGGTATTTTGACAAGGCGGACTGCCCTTAGAAAGTATGAACTAGACATCGAGAGGAACTGTATTCGCCTGCCTCATAGTACCCACATACTTGATCAAGACTGGATTTTTTCAGAGCTGAGATGATAGGGTTGAGCCTTGGCAATTTTTTAGCGTGGGTACGATTTTTTAGGGTGGGTATGACAGAGCCTTGGCTTGTTTTTTTCGATGTTCTCCTCGGCTGGGACGAGGAGGGGTTGAGTGGTGGTCGAACCACGCGACACGGTGTGACAATATGTGTAAAATTATATTTGATATATATATATAATGGTAGGCTTGGTAGGTGTTACTGAATTCTATTGTAGAGGGTACAACCCCCCCCTTCTTGTATCCCTCTCTCTTCTATTCCAACTCTCTTCTCTCTCGATGTTTTTCTCCTTCCTAAACCTCACGCCATTCCATGGCTACTCTTCCTAGCTAGCTTCTTTGCCATGGGTTCAGAGCAAGTCCGGCTGCTCGGGCCTGCTCATCACGCTTTCGCACATTCCGCTCCTCGCTCCTGTCCTTTTCACGCCGCCACCACGGCCATGTCGTGCTGCCGTGACGGCACCGTTGTGCTGCCGTGACGACGTGCTGCCAGCGCGCGGACGGCACAGACGGCAGCAGCCAGCGTCCCGTTTTAGCGCTGGCCAGCACGCCCGCATGCAGCCACCGCGCTACACGGGGCGGCACGCTCCCGGGCTCCGCTGCTGAAGCCCCGCCCCCTTCCCCTGCGTCCCCTCTTCCTCGCCACAGCCGACGGCTGACTCGCGCCAGCCGTCCCACCGTCGCGGAGCCTGGCCACGCCGCCGAGTGCTGCGAGCTCCGCCACCGCCGGCAACTGTCGTCGAAGCCGCCGCCGCCGCAGCTGGTGCTGCTGGCCACACCGCCGCCGCCACCGCTGTCGATGCTGCCGCCGTCGTCGCCGTTGCAGCCGCTGCCCTCGCTGTCAACGTCGCCCCGCCTCACGCGCCGTGGGGTTGACCATGCTGGAGTAGTCGTCGCTGCTGCTGAGTATGGGGGTGCTAGGGGGTGTGTGGCTTAGTGTACTGTGTGTGTGGTGGGCTTTCAGCTACCAAGCCTAGGGGGTGTGTAAAATTTTATATTTGATAGATATATATGTCAAACATGTGTATTTGTCATGTTTGTATAGACTCTATAGGGTAGCCTCTTAGAGGGTACAACACTTAGGTATATCTGTGTGTACTCTCACTCTATCGATTATTCACTTCACTAATTCTGATATGGTATCACGCGTAGGTTAGGATCCCCCCCCACCTACCGCTTCCGCTCGCCCTCCTAGCCCCATCGTGCCCCTAGCCCAGTCGCGACCCCCCCTAGCCCCGTCGCGCCCCTTCCTGGGCCCCGTAGTGCCCCTCCTGGGCCCCGTCGCGCCCTTCCTGGCCCCGTCGCGCCCCTCCCAGGCCTCGTCGCGCCCCTCCTGGGCTCCGTAGCGCCCCTCCTGGGCCCCGTCGCGCCCCTCCTGGGCCCCGTAGCGCCCCTCCTGGGCCCCGTCGCGCCCTTCCTGGGCCTTGTAGCGCCCCTCCTGGGCCCCGTCGCGCCCCTCCCAGGCCCTGTCGCGCCCCTCCTGGGCTCCGTAGCGCCCCTCCTGGGCCCCGTCGCGCCCCTCCTAGGCCCCGTAGCGCCCCTCCTGAGCCTCGTCGCGCCCCTCCTGGGCTCCGTAGCGCCCCTCCTGAGCCCCGTCGCGCCCTTCCTGGGCCCTGTAGCGCCCCTCCTGGGCCCCGTCGCGCCCCTCCCAGGCCATGTCGCGCCCCTCCTGGGCTCCGTAGCGCTCCTCCTGGGCCTCGTCGCGCCCCTCCTGGGGTCCGTAGCGCCCCTCCTGGGCCCCGTCGCGCCCCTCCTGGGCCCTTGTAGCGCCCCTCCTGGGCCCCCCGTCGTGCCCCTCCTGGGCCCCGTAGCGCCCCTCCTGGGCCGCGTCGAGCCCCCTCCTGGGCCCCGTAACGCCTTCAGGCCCCGTCGCACCCGCACGGCCCCGTCGCACCAGCCCGGCCCCGTCACGCCCGCCCGGCCCCGCCGCACCGGCCCGGCCCCGTCGCCCCCTGCCCGGCCCCGTCGCAGCCGCCCGGCCCCGTCGCGCCCGTCCGGCCCCGTCGCGCCCGCCCAGCCCCGGTGCGCCCCTCCTGGGCCACCGTCCTGCTCGCCCGGCCCCGTCGCACCGGCCCGGCCCCGTCGAACCGCCCGGCCCCATCGCACCAGCCCGGCCCCGACGCACCCGCCCGGCCCCGTCGCACCAGCCCGGCCCCGTCGCGCCCGCCCGGCCCCGTCGCACCCGCCCGGCCCCGTTGCACCGGCCCGGCCCCTGCGCTCGTCCCTGCCCCGGCCCCGGTCCTCCTCACTGGTACGGTTCTCCCCCCCCCCCCCCCCCCCGCCCTGCACCGTACTGCCCCGCACTGCACCGCCGCGCACCACCCTGTACTACCTGGCACCG